ATGTGGCCGACAAGTTGATGGACATGCTCCTCACCTTGCGCCAAGACACCGAAGCCGGCTGGGAGGATCGCGGCGCCTTCAACGGCTGCGAGATCGCAATCTACCCGCGCAAGCCCGACGAGCCCTTCTCGGTGATGCCCATGTTCCGCGGCAAGACGCATGCTGCAGGCCTCACTCCGCTCGAGGTCTTTACGGGCATCCGCATGACCGGCTTCCGCATGATGTGGGACACGCGAGTCCAGTCGGCGCACATCATGCGCTCCTTCTCCATGCACGAGTTCCTCTTCTATCTCGTCTGGCGCGGCATCGGGCCCATTCACAAACCACGAGACACCTGCGGCATCCAGGCGCTTCGATGCTGGGATGCAGCCGGCAACTTGCAACGCACCCCGGACTTCACCACAACCAAGATGATCCTCGGCTACCAGAGTCTCGACGAGGTGCCCGGCATTCCGCCGCAGGTGGAGGGATGCGTGCGCGCGCACATCTTCAAGGCCGCCTTCTACCTCGAGAGCCGCGAGGGCGGTTGCGACATCACCTACATCGGCCACGTCGACCTCGCCGCCGCCATCCCCAACTACATTCTCTCCACCCTGCACAGCGAGTTGCCCAAGAGCACCGTGCGCCTGCGCGACATGCTTCTCACCTTTGGTGTGCCGCCAGTGCTCATCGACCGACAGGGCCGCATCGCGCTCCAGTACCTCTCGTGTAATCCAGAGACGCGCCAGGTCTCGTTGCACGCCACCATCATGCAGGCCGGCAGCGTGCACCTCTACCTCGACTACAACAAGATGTTCACCCAGGGCGTCGTCATCAGCAACGTGCTTGGCTCTGCAGCCGCCGCCATCTCGGTGCGCGAGCACTTTGGCTCCGAAGACGGCTTGGAGCGCAGGATGCTCGCGCTCGATCTGCTGCCCGAGGGCGTCGGCGGCGAGTTCAGACTCATCATCGATGCCGCCGACAAGGAGGGGCCCGAGTCCGGGACCGGGCCAGGCTGGTGGTAGAGTGTCACCCGCCCCAAGCTTGCTCAAGTCTCATGGCCATTATCTCTGGCTCTTTGCTTCATACTAGTACCGCAGGATCGCGTAATCAGATGTTGGTTAATCACTCTCTTGACATGGCTGGTGCGAATGTGGCATTGAATCAGAATACACGAGCAAGGAAGATCAGTCGCGACGGGCGCGACGTTCCTTTCGCTTCTTGCCGATGACGTGGCCGTGAGCGTAACCCTTGGGTTTGTTCTTGTCTGCCTCAATCTTGCGGGCTGCTTGCGCCTCCCTCTTCGCAAGCTCGGCGTGGACGGCGGCCTCGCGCTCCTCGGCCTCCATCCTCTCCTGTCTTCGCACGGCGGATTCCTTGGTCGCCTTGAGTTTGTCGGCACGCTTCTTGGTGGTCACGACGTTTTCGATGGCGAACTCGATCATGAGCAGACCACCACGCTCCTTGTCTCCCGACGCACCGCCCTCTTCGAGCTCGCTGACCTTGGTGCGCAGACGCTGCTTGCGTGTGGTGAGCTCTTCGATCTCGGCACGAAGCGCATCCGCCTCTTCGCCCTTCTTCTCCTCGAGCGCTTTGGTCTTGGAGTGCACCTGCGTCGCGATGCGATCCACCTGCTGCTGCAGGTCGTCTTTCCACCACTCGCCAAAGAGCTTGGAAACGGCTTTGCTCGCGTTCGCCCAGCGGATCACCTTGAGCGCATCGTTGAACGACTTCATCTCCAGGAATCCGTAACCCTTGGACTTGCCCAGACCCGTGAGCGCCTCGACGCGGTCGTGCTGACGGACCACCTTGGACTGAACCACGGGCGTCGGCCTCTCGCCCGGCTTGCGCTTGCGGTTCTCGGCGGAAGCACTGAGGGTGCGATCCGCCTTTTCGTCGGCATCCAGATCCTCGCGCTCGCCCGCGCGCACTTCGGCTCCAAACGTCTTGATCGCATGGATCGCCAGACGCTTCAGCATGCGGTCCGACACAAAGAGCGGCAGCGAACGCACCGCCAGACGCGTCTTGCTCACAAACAGCGACGGGTTGGCGCCCATCTGCGCCTTGCGTACCTGGAACGACTGCAGCCTCTTCTCCACCTCGGACGGCGCAAGGCGTGCGGCGAAGTCCGAGTTGGGGAACGGCACACCCTCTCGGAGCAGCCACGTGTTGCGCTTGTCTCCCTTCTCGCGCTCCTTGCGTCCGCTCGTCTCGAGACGCGACGCCTCGTCGCGCGCCACAGCCGGAATGACGTTGAGCACGCGGCCATGCAGGTTGAGACTCGCCGTGAGCGGCGCAGCGGGATCGGCAGTGAGCACGGACGGCATGGCGAAGGGGTTCTTCTGGTTGGCGACGGAGCTCGACGCAGATCCCGAGACGCCCGACTCGCGCTCGATGATGCGCGCCTGTGCCAGCGCCGCATCGGCCGACTCGGCCTGCCAGAAGCACACGAAACCCGTGCCCTTGCTGCGGTTAGTCGCCTTGTCCATGGTGATCTTGGCATAGCGCAGCGGGCCAAACGTGCGGAAGAGGTTTCGCAGCTCTTCTTCGGTGGCCTGGTACGGCAGATTTCGGACGAAAAGCGTGGTGCCCTCTTCGGGTGCTGGCAGCTTGGGTCGCTCTGCGGGCTCCTCGCTGGCATCACTGCCGGCATCGCTGGCGTCGTCGGCATCGTCGGCATCGTCGGCATCG